TCTCTCTCTCTCGATCTCTATGTGTGAAGATATTCATTTTAATTTGTGTTGGATTTTTGGCTAAACCATTTTGGTTTTACGGTTAGCAACTTAATTAGCATATGCATACATATGACTGGCCTAATTAATCTGTTGTCGTGGTCGATCGTTTACGGTTTCTCCAAACATATCCACATGGGATATATACTACTCCATTCACCAAGCCGGCCGCCGAGCAAAACAAAGGCATCCCTTTCATAGGAATCATTCGTTCATCCTTCCTTGATCTGCTCCAAATCCTTGTGTGCTCTGAATCTGATCTGGTTCGCCGAATGTTGTCTCGGTCGAGTTTTCATTTTAGCTGGTTGCTAGCTAGCTAGATTCATGCATGCCCCTATTTTCTTAGTCGAATTAAAGTGCTCGTTCATCATTTATGTGATCGATGAGTTATATTTGTATGTATTGGTTTGCAGAGGGAGCGGAGAAGGTGAGCGCGGTCATCATGGCGACGAGGAGGAGCAGCAGCAGGCAGCTTGGGCGGAGGAGGCAGCCGGCGTTCAACCGCTGGTGATGCCGGAGGACGGGTACCAGTGGAAGAAGTACGGCCAGAAGTTCATCAAGAACATCCAGAAAATCAGGTGCGCACGGCCAACACCTCGTGAAAACCTTACTCCTAATCTGATTTTAATGGATTGACGACGAAGGCACGGCGCATTGTGCATGCAGGAGCTACTTCCGGTGCCGCGACAAGCGGTGCGGCGCCAAGAAGAAGGTGGAGTGGCAGCCGGGCGACCCCAGCCTTCGCATCGTCTACGACGGCGCGCACCAGCACGGCTCCCCAGCCTCAAACGGCGGTGGTCAGGACGGCGACGGCGCCGCCAACCGGTACGATCTCAGCACCCAGTACTTCGGCGGGGCCGGCGCCCCCACGCCGCAGACGCGGTGACCAGACCACGCGACGCGACGGCCGCCTTGCCTTGCCGGCCGACTGACGACAGGTGCCGCCGGCCGGTGGCGCCATCAGGTGGACGCATGCATGGTAGCTGTTGAACGGCCGGCGGTGGCGATGCCGGTTCGCCGCCGGCGCAGCGCTGTCGACGGTTTAGGTGGCAGATTATCTGTGGTCAACGTGATTACAACGTGCACTAGCTGGCTAGTTCAGCGGTCGCACTGCTACGACTAGTAGTACCTGTAGCTCCGTTTGTTCCCGATGTACTCCCTCCGTTCGGAATTACTTGTCTCGGAAATAGATGTATCTACAACTAAAATACGTCTAGATACATCCATTTCTGCGACAAGTAATTCCGAACGGAGGGAGTATGTATGTACGATTAGTTCAACTCCGGTACCTGAGGCCGCGAGTGCATCAGCATTAATTAGCAGTAACACCTGAGGCTGTCACGCTAAATGCCTAAATGTACAAGTGGATCGGATCGCTGAGTTGACTCTTCAAAGCCTTCTTGCTTTGCTTGCTTGCCCTCATCCTCATGGCGCCACACCACAGCCCACTACTAAAAAAAGCTCATTAGAAGTACAAAACAACCCAACATAAATTACATCGAGGTCCACTGCCTCCAGCAGATCGCGCCTTTGTTGCCGCTCCCATGGCGAAGCCTTGTCGATGACAGCCCAGAAGCATTTTTGCACGCGCCCTCAAGGATCAGCACCACGAAGCCACCCTCATCGCCGTTGAGCCCTTGAATTGATCTGAAAAATCTGTTTGAGCCACTTTTTTCTGGTACGTTTGATCAGAATCGAACGGCTAAGAGAAAAGTGGCTCAAAAGCGCCACTGCACAGGGATCATTCAACCGACGAGGTGCAAAAGAAAAACCAGGCGTGCGTATTAGCAAACACAAAAAACAGAAGAAATCATCTCTGTCCAAGATTCTTCAGGGAAGCACCATGGGTATGCATGCAGCAAACACAATGGAGAAACCAAGAAATCTAGCAGCACATACAACAGTTTTCATTGTTCATTCTAATGCAAAGTCAAAAACATCTCAAGGAGAATAAACACAACAGAAAAAAATAATGACAGATATAGTTACTACATACATAGGTCCAGCAGTACGCACATACAGATTGCCCAACATGACATTGTCTGTCGACACCAGCCTTCTCATCACTGTACCTACAGCATGAGAACTTGCACCATGCAGTGCAGTTCGCTGGAAGTACTCAGAGAAGACTCACACACAAGCTGTCTTCTGTGCTGCAATTCAGACATAAACTCTACTCAGAAGTAACGACCCTTTTTGTTGACCGACTCCTCTATCACACGGTGGACCTATTATCATCATCAATCAAGAGACCAAACGGATACGACGCCTCAAGCCTCCATCCACAACATGGACTCGCGACCCAACCACGGCACATCAAAGCTCGCATCAAATTACAACATGCTATGGACTCCTCCAGACTATATGTACAGTTGAAATTAGCAGTCACGTCTCACAAGATGGCAAAATCTCAGGGGACCTTGTAGTTGTGAGTTCAGTAAGTTAATCTGCAAACAGAGACAAGTAAGAAACAATCAGTTTTATTCTTCTAGACAAATGTCTCGATGCAAATCTAAAAAAGGTAAATTGCACTATCCAGCATCTTCTGCAAGGAGAAGAAAGGACGCATAGCCATAAATCTATCAAAACCGTGCAGTATTATTATTGCATCAATTGCATATAGAGAAATCTAAGCCACAGCAATGGCACCTAAGTAGAGAGGTCAAGGGACTGAAAAATCAACTTTCCTCAAGATGAACAACATTCTCATCAACCTCCATTCAACAAAATGTAAAAACTCCACAGAAAAGCATGAGTGTGCTGCTCCACAAGGACAAATTAAATGACCAACTACAATCATAATATTCAAGAATTCACACAACATACAGCTGCTCTACACTAGAAAAATGTTCCCTGCAACTATCCACTAAAATGCTCAAACTTCAACAACTGAACAGGAGATCTCCTTATTTTACTAAGTTTCTAGCACACGGCAAACATAACATTATCAATAATAGTGCATACCATTGCTGGACTTTTCTGAACTCTGTGAGTACAGGATATATGTTTTCAAAGGCGGTGTATGTCTCTTCTCTCACCTGGAAAGACAAAAAAATTAGTGTCTTTCAGATGTACGAAAAGAATAGCCAATTAAAGTATATAAGATAAAAGACAGCTACCTTTGCTCCGGTCAAGACAATCTTGCCTGAAACAAAAATCAGAAGAACAATCTTCGGTTGCTTCATTCGATATATCAGGCCAGGAAAAAGTTCTGGCTCATACTGTAAAATAAAAAAACATTAAGGTAAACATCATTCAACTTACACTCGAGAATAACAGCAACATGCACAAGCAGAGGTTCTCAAAGAAACATAGAACCATTCGACTTACACTTGAGAAAGCACCATGAGAATATGCGAGGCCCTCCAGTCTAATTGGAAATTTAACATCACAAGAGCCAACAATATTCTGAATCTTAAAATCCTGATATAGCACAAAAGTTAGGACAGTCTCACAAAATGAAATTGGTCAGAGCGCAGGTGTACTCATGAGAATATGCCTGGAATAGTTAGTTACCTTGAATTTAGCTGGAAAGCCAAGTTTCTGAATAATACGAGCATACTGGGAACAACATTGTGTGTTAGACTTCAGAAACCTCTCAGCCAGCATAGACAAAATAATCGAAGCAAACAATGGCATACCTTTCTTGCTGCAAGCTTGGACTGCTGTTCGCTCTTTGCTCCAGTACATACCTGCAACAGGACTTGCGTTAACATAAATAAAGATGGATGGCGAGTTGTATACATGGTGGTAGTTCTCTGAAACGGTTGCTCAAAAAATAGTTCTCTTAAACCTATACACTTTTCAATCAATAAGACAGAACAGAAGTTCCTTTCTTCAAAAATAAATATCTTTCTTCCAGTCAAACTGCCATAAGATCAGTGATGACAAACAATAAAGCTTATTTGAATACAGATTTCGACCCAGTTACATTAATATATAACATAGGAACAGAGTAATCAGTTATCTCCGAAAATATGACAACCAAGAAAGCTTATTTGAATAAAGATTTCGATCATTCCACAGGTACTGGAGTACATTATTTTAGGGTTCGTCTATTACGGATAAACAAGAGATTTTGATAATGCTTGACGGCAATGAAATTAAGCTACGGGTAACTACTCATTCCATTAGTATATAACATAAGAACAGAGTAATCAATTATCTCTGAAAATAAGAACATAATTGCTTGTGCATGCAAAATTTAACTTGCACATTTAATGAAGAGTACAGATTAGGTATAATTTTTTTAATATGGTACATGAAGCGATTGTAAATAAAACAATTCTAACAGCTGACAGTGCAAGTGTGTAACAGCAGCTCATGAAATAAGCATTACAATAGTCAAGAACATGTACAAGCTTAAGTGCTTAAGTGAAGTTGGACCATACCATTTTACCCGACGCGAATATCAGTGCTGTAGTTTTTGGTTCTCTTATTCTCATGATAACTGCAGCAAAACGCTGTATGAAGAGAAGAGTAAACAAACAAAAGCATTAAACATGGAACAGAAGAACTAAGTTACATAAAACAGGACGTATGACCAGAAAATACGCAGATAATCAAGTTGCTAATATGCATACTCTCTGTATACTAGTCTTTCACCGATGTGGCGATGCCTTATTGTACAGCAAACTCAATAGCGTACATTCACCTCAAGACATCACATTCAATTCAACATACACCCCCTACAGTCAAGTTTTGTCTGGTAACTGCAGCACTAAGTACAAGGCATATGATATCTGCTAACTGCTGAATCTCGTTTGTAGGGAAAATGAGTTCTTATTTATGTTACAAGCTGGTTGCGGGGTGCATCTTTACTATCTTTCCTTAGCGTTACCCTATCAAACTGAAAACCATGGGGAAAAGAACAGTTTGCGCCCTGGGCTAAAAATAAACTTGTGCCTTAAAAAAGCAACTTTTTTGATCTAAATTTGTTTTTTAAACCAGGGGCAACTTGTCTTTTTCCCAGAAAAATTTGGTTGCAACAAAAAGTACATGAACATGCACATGAGCAAAAGAAATCATAATTTTTTGGCATTTAAAAAAAGCAAAAACTCAACCAGAAGCATGTGCTGTGGATGCAACTTCAAATTACATCATTCAAAGACCTTGGGAATGTTAAAACTTTTTAGATCTAAATTTGTTTTTTAAACAAGGGGCACAAGACTTGTCTTTTTCCAGGAAAATTTACATGCAACAGAAAGTACATGAACATGCACATGAGCAAAAGAAATCATAATTTTTTGGCATTTCAAAAAAAAACCTCAAGCAGAAGCATGTGCTATGGATGCAACTTCAAATTACATCATTCAAAGACCTTGGGAATGTTAAAACTTTTTAGATCTAAATTTGTTTTTTAAACAAGGGGCACAAAACTTGTCTTTTTCCAGGAAAATTTACATGCAACAGAAAGTACATGAACATGCACATGTGCAAAAGAAATCATAATCTTTTGGCATTTAAAAAAAAACTCAACCAGAAGCATGTACTCCAGGTGCAACTTTGAATTACATCACTCAAAGACCTTGGGAACATTAGCCTTATATATGTGTTACTCCCTCCGTCTGGAAATACTTGTCATCAAAATGGATAAAAATGGCTGTATCTAGAACTAAAATACATCTAGATACATCCCCTTTTATTCATCTTGATGACAAATATTTCTGGACGGAGGGAGTACATGGTAGCACAAATAACCTTAGAAAATTGTGATGCACGCAAATAAAAAAAAACTTTAAGTGAAAACATGCCCACAGGAAAACACTGGCCAATCATCATACCTTTGGATTATATTCTGCGTTGCGTGCCTGCAGAGCTATTGCTTTGAGGTCCAACTTACAATCCAAATTGACTGTTGACACAATATTCCTGCCATAAGATAAGAGGATACACAAACAATGAACTCAATTTTCTCAATAGAAATGGCAAAAGAAGGTCATAAAAGCACACATCATCGAGAAAACTACAGTTCCTAGAGCTGAAACATAACATGGCAATCCAACGATATAAGACGACGCCACAGGCACTCCACACTTCTCAATGCACAACAACAAGCAAGTACACCATGCTACTCATGGATGAAGTTTCCATAAGCTGGCTGGTACAAGCATAAACTGGCTAGCACGCAAGACCGAAAAATGACTTGTGCTTTCTTGACCATGTCAAATAAAAAATGTTCAGCTCGCACCAGCAGTTGAGATAATTCCATCGCCACACCACACAAGATCCTATTGTTTCTAGTCAGAAACACACGCTGGCCAAGGTTTTGGTCACCTATGTTTGGGCGAGGACTGGCAATAAACTATCCATCTGTCCAAAAAAGGGACCAATTTCGGCATGGTTGTTGGTTGGGGCAGAGACAGAACAAGCCCTTGGGTTTCTCCCTCGCTGTGACGGACCCAAATCCTAATATCCGGGGCAAAATTGCATGTGATTGCTATACTTATTACTCAAACCGGTTAGACTAATTATCGCCCCTTGTACTACATCACCCAGCAATCCAGCTATCAAGGGGCAATTTAATTTCTTCCTGGTATGGTTGGTATGTGATTACTTTTTTATGTGATTACTAGTACTACTAGAATCGATTAGCCTAGTTACTGCCCCATCTCCAGCAGGCACCACCCGCACCCAAAGGATCTACTAAACCAAACCAGGTCAACGAGCCACCGGCGACGGGATCTCCCCTCGCCCTCGCCGGCGGCGACCCGGGGCGGGGCGGGGCGGGGCGCGGCGGATCGGGGACTTACTGGAGCGTGGGGATGATGCCTGAGGGGTGCTTGGACAGATCCACCGGCTCGCTCCCCTCCAGCGTCGCCTCCGCCATGGCGACAGACCCGGCCGGCCGGCCGAATCAGAGCGGATCCGAGGGAGAAATTGGCGGGAAGAGGCGCGCGGGCAGGGAAGGTCGGCGGAAAATTTCGAAATTCGGGGTCTTTTATAGAGATCGGAGGCAGGAGGAGCGGGGAGCGGAGAGGGGGGAAGGGATCTGTGTCGCGGGAAGGGGAGGGGAGATGCGTGTGGTGTGGTGCGTGCGGGGGAGGAGGCGAGGGGTGGTGGGAATGGGGGTGTGGTTGGGCGTGGCCGGTGGGCCGGGCGGGTTGGGTATTTATATGGGGAGCGAGGTGACCCCCTATGGCCGGTCATAATTGTTTTCCTATGTATACTCAATACATTTTGTGTAAATTGTTTCCAAAAAGAAAATTGTTTTGTGACACCCCAAATTTGTGTGAGGCACGTGTGAGTGGTTTATACAAGGATGCTAGGCTATTTTCACTTCTAGGTATGTCCCTGGCGTCAGTGACAGGCGAGCGGGAGGGCCTTGAAAACTCATTGCGTCCTCTTGCTCGTCTCTTCCATGCCTACAACTATGTACGCTTGGTAGGAAATGATAGGCATCAAACCATGTGTCATTGCTTGTCCTAGTGCTAGCTATCTATCGGTCGGTGGATCAACATGAAGCCTTCTCGGTACTTCACGTGGTGTGCAGGTTTCATAAGGTCGTATCAAGGTTCCACCCAACCACATTCACACTTGGCACTACGTATTTATTATCCTTGTAAAAGGAGCATTCCCTCTCATGGTTATATAAGCAGTCTCTACCTCCTCGGTCTACTTCAATCACACTACTACCTAGATTTGAATAAGATGATCTCTCTTCCTCTCCCCTCCCATCATCGCATGTCGAATGTTCAGTCACATTACGCTATCTGGAAATGAGGGGCCTCGGGAACAGACCGTCTCATTACATGTCGAACAGTACAAGAGTTGATCTTGCAGTATGCTGAGAAGAAATGCGATAATACGCAGCAAAACACGGCTCTCCAAGACACACCACACATAAATGTAGAAGTTGAAGCTTTCAAAGGGCAGACACCATACCCTCTTGCAATGTGACTGGTCTAGGTTGAGTAGCTTATCAAACATGGGCCTGACTCATCTCTTCGGGGGAAACACGGGGTCTATTCTAAATGTGATGGGAGATGTTTGTAGTAGCATGTAATCACCGGACATTTTTATGAGAAATTTTTTCTTTTTATATTCCTATATAGTATCACATTTTATGTTATATGGATAGTTTTGTCACACGCCAAATTTGTGTGCGGTTCATTCATGGATACTAGGCTATTTTCACTCTAGGTATGTCCCTGGCAGCAGACGGATCGGGGACTTACTGGAGCGTGGGGATGATGCCAGAGGGGTGCTTGGACAGATCCACCGGCTCGCTCCCCTCCAGCGCGGCCTTTGGCATGGCGACAGACAAGCCCCAGACCCCGCTCGGCCGGCCGAATCAAAGCGGATCCGAGGGAGAAATTGGCGGGAAGAGGCGCTCGGGCAGGAAGGTCGGCGGAAAATTTCAAAATTCTGGGTCTTTTATAAAGATCGGAGGCAGGAGGAGCGGGGAGCGGAGAGGGGAAGGAATCTATGCTGCGGGAGTGGAGATGCTTGTGGTGTGGTGTGTGCGGGGGAGGAAGCTTCTTGTGCTGGGTGTGGTTGGGCGTGGCCGGTGGGCCGGGCGGCTTGGGCATTTATACGGGGAGCGAGGTGACCCCATGTGGCCGGTAACAATTGTTTGCCTATGCTATTCCATATTTTTGTGACATTTTGTGTCATATGAATATAGTTTTTGTGACGCTCCAGATATGTGTGGGGCATGTGTGTGTGGTTTATACGAGGATATTAGGCTACTTTCACTTTAGGTATGTCCCTGACGCCAGTGGTAGGTGAGTGATAGGGTCTTGAAAACTCGTCGTGTCATCATGACGTCTCTCCCTACAACCACGTACATACATCTTGTAGGAAATAATACGCATCAAGCTATGCGTCATTTCTTGTCCTAGTGGTAGCTATCGGACACGAAGCCTTCTCGATACTCCACGTGTTGTGCAAGTTTCATAATATCGTACTAAGGATCCACCCAACCACGTTCGGATTTAGCACTGCGTGTTTATTATCTTTGGAAAAGAAGCATCCCCTCCCTCTCATGGATATATAACATCCTCTGCCTCATTGGTGTGCTTCAATTACACGACTAGCTAGCTTTGAATAAGATGCTCTCTCTTCCTCTACCTTCCCATCATCGGATGTTGAATGTTCAATCACATTGCACCATCCAGAAATGAGAGGCCTTGGGAACAAACCATGCCATTACGTGTCGAACAATACAAGAGTTGGTTTTGCACTATGCCAAGAAGAGATACGACAATGCGCTGCAAATCATGGCTCTTCAAGTCATACAGTATCTACATGTAGAAGTTCAAGCTTTCAGAGGACGGACACCAAATCCTCTTGCAATGGGACTGGGCTAGGTGGAGTAGCTTATCAAACATGGGGCTAACTCATCTCTTCGTGGGAACCATGGGGGGTCTATTCTAAATGTGATGGGAGATGTTTATAGTAGTACGTAGTAACCGGATGTTTTTACGAGCAATTTTCTTTTTTTATATTCCTATGTGGTACTACATTTTGTGTTATATGAATAGTTTTGTGATACGCCAAATTTGTGTGAGTCATGTGTGTGTGGTTCATACAAGGATACTAGGCTATTTTCACTCCCTGGCGCTAGTGGCAGGCGAGTGAGAGGGTCTTCAAAACTCGCCATGTCATCTTGTCCGTCTTTGCGGCTATGACTGCGTACATCTTGTACAAAATGATAGGCATCAAACTACGGTGTCATTTCTTGTCCTAGTTGTAGCTATATGTCATTGAATAGATATAAAGTCTTCTCGATCCTCCACGTGTCGTGTAGGTTTCATACTATCATATCAAGTTTCCACCCACCCACATCCAAATTTCACACTACATATTTATACGGGACCGGTGGGCCTACAGGGACCGAGGTTACCTCCCGTGGCCGGTCACAATTATTTTCCTACCTAGTATAGTTAGTACATTTTGTGCTATATGAATAGTTTTGCTCAAAATAAAAGAGAATAATTTTGTGACACTCCAAATTTGTGTGAGGCATGTGTGTGTGGTTTATACAAGGATGCTAGGCTATTTTCACTCTAGGTATGTCCCTGGCAGTGGCGGAGCTAGCATTTGACAACAGGGTGGTCCACCTCGAAGAAATTGACAATAAATTTGACACGTGAGTGTTCTAACTAATTATCAATGTCACATAGAAATAGATCAAATATGGTCTTACAAACATACTAGAATTCTCAATTAAGTCTTAGGTTTGCTTAAAGAAGCCTACATAGTACATACCACATACCTTGTGAAGTTCTAAGAAGACTATGTTTGCTCTTGAATCATAAATTCTCCATTTTGATCTGCAAAATTATGTGCTGCAAAATTGTGAACTCATACACATCTGGCCAAAATTATGAGTCCAGTTGAGATGGGGATGTGCTGCAAAATCATATTGATGTACTGTAAAATACATCGAAGGATGGAGTACCTCACTGCCTCTCTCGAAGGCCTGACGAGGGGATGGGGGTATAACCTGCTGCCTGTTGAGCGCCAGAGAGGATTGGGCGGCTCCGGCTCGTTGTGGTGCGTCTTGCGCGCCTTCGCGGACAACAGCCCATCGTGAGGCAGGCGGGGCAGACACAAGGCAGGCCCCCGCTGGCGGGCGTCAGGGCGGTCCGGCGGTGGACCGGCGAGGCAGGCAGCTCCGGCGCTAGGCTGGCGGGGGATCGATCCCGTGCGTGGCTCCGTTCTCTTCGGGACAAGTAGTGACGCAGTCGAGTTGCGTAGACTAGCTATTACTGGGCCTTTCCTCCTGGCCCATCTCTATAAATAACCCTATGCTATACATGCCAGTCTGAAATCCCAGGGTGGGCCGCGGCCCACCCTGTCCACCCTGTGGCTCCGCCACTGGTCCCTGGTGCCAGTGGCACGCGAGCGGGAGGGCCTTGAGAACTCGTGTCATCTTGTCCGTCTCTTCTCTGCTTATGACTACATACATATTCTGTAAAAATGATAGGCATCAAACTATGTGTCATTTCTTGTCCTAGTGGTAGCTATGTGTTGTTGGATCGATCCCCCGCCGAGATCTGCTTCAATCGCACGACTCGCCAGCTTTCAATAAGATGATCTCTCTTCTTCTACCCTCCCATCATCGGGTGTTGAGTGTTCATTTGTATTGCACTATCTGGAAATGAGAGGCCTCGGGAAAAAACCATGCCATTACACGCCGAACGATACAAGAGTTGATCACTATGCCAAGAAGAAATACGACAATGCGCTGCAAATCATGGCTCTTCAAGACGTACAACACATACATGTAGAAGTTTAAGCTTTCAGAGGGCGGACACCAAATCCTCTTGCAATGTGACTGGGCTAGGTGGAGTAGCTTATCAAACATGGGACTAACTCATCTCTTCGTGGGAATCATGGGGGTCTATTCTAAATGTGATGAGAGATGTATGTAGTCGCATGTAGTAACCGGATGTTTTTATGAGCAATTTTTTTATATTCCTATGTGGTACTACATTTTGTGTTATATGAATAGTTTTGTGACACGCCAAATTTGTGTGAGTCATGTGTGTGTGGTTCATACAAGGATACTAGGCTATTTTCACTCTAGGTATGTCCCTGGCGCTAGTGGCAGGCGAGTGAGAGGTTCTTCAAAACTCGCCGTGTCATCTTGTCCGTCTTTGCGGCTATGACTGCGTACATCTTGTACAAAATGATATGCATCAAACTACGGTGTCATTTCTTGTCCTAGTTGTAGCTATATGTCATTGAATAGATATAAAGTCTTCTCGATCCTCCACGTGTCGTGTAGGTTTCATACTATCATATCAAGTTTCCACCCACCCATATTCAAATTTCACACTACATATTTATACGGGACCGGTGGGCTGGGTGGCTTGGGTATTTATACGGGGACTAAGACCTCCTTTGGTTCATAGGATAGGAAAGTCATAGAAAATGAGATGACATGTATCTGAAATCCTATGATGGCCTCTTTTGGTTCATAGGATAGGATTATCGTATGAATAGGAATTTTGTAGGAAATGAGATGGCATGTATGTCAAATCCTATGAGTAGGAATAGGAAAGGAGATGTCATTTGATTGACATCAAAGGAATTTTTCCATTGAGTCTAGGTTCTTTTTTATTTTCCTATGAAATGTGGAGGATAGGAATCAATCCTATGTAGAAATAGGAATCTATTCCTATGAACCAAAGGGCTCTAAAGAAAAAAATCCTATAAGAATCCTATCCTATGAAATTCCTGCAAACCAAAGGAGGCCTGAATAGGAATAGAAAAGAAGGTGCCCTTTGGTTCACATCATAGGATTTTTTTTCATTGAGTCTAGGCTAATATTTATTTTCCTATGAAATATGAAGGATAGGAAGTTTTCCTTCACAGGAATAGGATTCTATTCCTACAAACCAAAGGGCTCTAAAGGAATTTTCCCTATACAAATCCTATCCTATGGGATTCCTACAAAATTCCTACAAACCAACGGAGCCCTAAGGTTACTTGCCGTGGTCGGTCACAATTATTTTCCTACCTAGTATAGTTAGTAAATTTTGTGCTATATGAATAGTTTTGCTCAAAAATAAAAGAGAATAATTTTGTGACACTCCAAATTTGTGTGAGGCATGTGTGAAGGAAATATGCCCTAGAGGCAATAATAAAGTTATTATTTATTTCCTTATATCATGATAAAAGTTTATTATTCATGCTAGAATTGTATTAACTGGAAACATAATACATGTGTGAATACATAGACAAACAGAGTGTCACTAGTATGCCTCTACTTGACTAGCTCGTTAATCAAAGATGGTTAGGTTTCCTAACCATGGACAAAGAGTTGTTATTTGATTAACGGGATCACATCATTAGTTGAATGATTTGATTGACATGACCCATTCCATTAGCTTAGCACCCGATCGTTTAGTATGTTGCTATTGCTTTCTTCATGACTTATACATGTTTCTATGACTATGAGATTATGCAACTCCCGTTTGCCAGAGGAACACTTTGTGTTCTACCAAACGTCACAACGCAACTGGGTGATTATAAACGAGCTCTACAGGTGTCTCCAAAGGTACATGTTGGGTTGGCGTATTTCGAGATTAGGATTTGTCACTCCGATTGTCGGAGAGGTATCTCTGGGCCTTCTCGGTAATGCACATCACTTAAGCCTTGCAAGCATTACAACTAATGAGTTAGTTGCGGGATGATGTATTATAGAACGAGTAAAGAGACTTGCCGGTAACGAGATTGAACCAGGTATAGGATACCGACGATCGAATCTCGGGCAAGTAACATACCGATGACAAAGGGAAC